CACTTAATATCTGGCCTCCATTTTCTCATGTGAAAAATGGGGGAGGGAAAGTGAATATATCACCTGCTTCACAGGATTGTTGAAAGGTAAAATAAGACAGTGTGAACATGAATATAAGTGCTTTGTACGTAGTAGGCACTTAACAATAGCTGAAACACAATGAAAATCAGTGCTAACATTAAAACGAAGAAAGTGCTGACAGAAACAAAACTTTGTCTATAATTGAGAGACTGCCTTGACCACACTGCCAAAGTGCCCTTGGCTTTTTACTTAAACTCTAAACATAGCTTTAAAAACTCTTATTAGGGATCACAATTGGAAGCTTTCAAATCCTGTTCTTTGGGCTTCTTTTTTGTAAGGCAAATACGAATAGCCGAGGAAATACAAATCTACTTTAACAAGGCCAGGGTGTTATTTGGTTAAAAGGAACTTTAGCCTGTGAGGTCACAGGCTGAGATTCACCTAAGCTTCCCTATTACAGAGGTGCTATTGCTGGTATCCTAGAGTTGGTCTATGCGAAGCACGCAACCACTAGAGAACTTCTCATGAATTAAAAGGAAAAAGTCTCACCCCAAATCCCTAATATAGAGGCTTAAGAAGCTACAGAGAAATGTCTGAAACTCAGCACTCTCCTCAGCTGCATCACTACCTTCTTGGATCAAGTGCAAGCTCTGTACTCAGCCCACAAGACCTCCCATCATCTAGCCCCATCCGCTTCTCCTCAGACCTCATCTCCTGATCCTTCCTTTCTAAACTTTATGTTTTAGCAACACTGACTCGCTTGGAATTTATCAGTGTGTGTTTGTATGTGCATGTGTGTACTCATGCACGCACACACACGTGTATGTTGGGAACAGTTTTGTTCCCTCTGCCTCCAATGCCCTCCCTACCTCTTTGCCCCACCGAACCTTAACATCTAGAATCATGCTTCTTAAAGTGTGGTCCTGTAGCTCTGGCACCCCGGAGCTTGTTAGAAATGTAGAATCTCAGACCCACTCCAGACCTACTGAATGAGAATCTGTATTTTAAATAAGATCCCAGGTGACTGTATGCACCTTAAAGTTGAGAAGCCCTGCACTGAGACCCTGCTTCTTCCAGAAGCCCTCTTTGACAAACAGTAGCCCTTACCTCCCACCATGCCAGGGTAGATGCCCCTCTTTGGTACTCCCAGACTTTTGCTCACCTTACTTATTATAGAGTATTCTACATGTGCTTATCCGTTCATGTGTCTGTCTTTTGTCCTTGACTGAGGGCTCTCCACAGGCCTTGTATCTCCCATTTTGTACAAAATCTGGCATATGGTTAGAGCTTAAGAAATGTCATTTGTCACAGCTAATAGTTCTAAATATGTCTAACATTCTTGTGATTTTAAACTTTAATACCTAACTTTAATTTCAATAACAAATAGTTTTAATAAGTTTAATAACTGAAACTTCAATAACAAATTCAGATACCTGTGAGCTACATGTAAAAGTATTACAACTTAGGTTTTAATCATGTTACCTATTTGAATCCAGATACTCTGAATTTTGTATTTATTGATTTTTAACAGTATTTAAAATATAATAAAATTAATTAAAAAAAAATTTTGTATAATGCAAACTTTCAAACATACACAAAAGTAGGAAAGATTAATGAATCCATCACCCAGCATCAATACACACCCACATTTTTTTTTTCTTTTACCATTCTTGTTTCATCTATTTCCCTCACTGCCATCCAGTTACTCTTTTGGGGGCTGGATTGTTTTAAACAAATCCCAGATATAATGTCATTACAACCACAAATATTTCAGTATGTATCTGTAATTTAAAAGGACTTAAAATATATATATATATATATATACCCACATATATAAAAAACCACCATGCCATTATTGTAGCTAATAAAATTAACAGCAATTCCTTAATATAATCTAGTACTGAGTCTCTATCCAAATTTCCCTATTTCAAAGACATATTTTTACAGCTGAGTTTTTAGAAATCAGGTAATCTTTTTTTTTTTTTTTTTTAGCAAACAAAAAAAAGCTCTGAGATGAGAAGGTAAATTTCTCATGCCTGTGGCCTCAGGTCCAAATCATCTGCGTGACACAGGTACCCCCCTCCCCAACTCACAACTACATTGTTTACTTTTTAAAAACCCCAGGCTGGCTGGTTAGCCTAGCCAGTTAGAGCACGGTGTCATGACACCAAGGTCAAGGGTTCAGATCTCCATACCAGCCAGCCAGAAAAAAGTTAATATAATAAATAAAAACCCCACAAAACTTTTATAAAGAACCTACAGGTAAAATAGGGTAGAGCCAAAGCAATGCTGAGGTCCACATAAGCATGTCCTTCAAAAGCAATGAAATAAAAGGAATTACAATGATGAGGATGATTACTTAACGAAAAAGAAATATACAAAGGATATTAGGCCAAATGATTTTCCCCCTCAACAGCCAAACCTAGAGAGCGAGATCTAGGAGGATGTTAAACTTGATGATGAGATTTTGCTTTTAAAATCTGTATATCTCCTGGCTGCAATAAAAACTTGGGCTTTCTGAGACACATACTGACAGAAGCAGTTTTAGAGGCAACTCCTTGGAGTTGTTCTCCTTTGAAGTAAGATCTGATCCATGCTCTATAGATCAAGAGCACAGTTCAAATTTCTCTTTGCTCCCTTTTAAGTCATATTTCATCTCTGCCTCCTGCTTGTTGTAGATCTCCACATAACATGCCAAGGTGCAGAGATTCCTGTCTCCACACAACGGCCCAGCACTCAACCAGATTCTGTTTTGTCCCTAAACATTCATTCCCTCTGACTCCTGCTGGGTCTGTTATATTCAGATATGAACTTTCCAGGAATCTGATCATGTCATAGGCCTTTTCCTGTATGACAAATTCAATGCTAATCGTGAATAGCCACTTCACACAGAGGGTTAGTATTATTCATGAAAATTAGGACTCCACATCCAGAAATAGGACAAAATTGGCCTAAAATAGGCAGGCTGTATCTGTTTCATCCACAGGCAATTACCAAGGTCTCTTGCTGCAAACAGCACAAGAGTTTTTCCTCGACTATGTTAATCAGACACACTAGAAGCACAATATTCAGCCAGACTCAAGGTCTGAGGTTTGGATTGATGGGGAGCCCTGGTGCCCACCAGGTGAACTAAGGGTTTCCCAAAGAACCAGAGCCAGACACTGCTCACCTTCCATCTACCCAAACCAGGTACTATTGAGTTCTCATTCCCAACTTCTGCAAGAATCCTTACCCAGACCATTTCAAGACCAACTTTAGGGTTTTGAGACAATTATCAAAGGGCCACAAAAAACCAGAAATAATATTTAATTTTCCTTTTTTGTAACAGTGAGGTACATCTAGCAAACATTATGAATTAGAGGCATACTAGATGGTTTGTACCATTTTGCTATAATTCTCTCTTCTGGAATCTAGTTTCAATGACCACATGAATCAGCTCCTATTGGCCCAAATTATATTTTATAAATGCAAGTTGAAGATTATCTTTCCAAATAAAAGAACCCAGATTGAAATCCTCTCTTTGGATTCCTGAGAGAATGACATAGGCTGGAACTAAAAGACTATCTTTGTGTAGAGCAAACGGACCGAGGAAAATCTGTTTTCCTCTCCCCCTGCCCTTTTCTTTTTTATATAACTAGAGCCAAATGAGATGTTTTTCATTTAAAAAATTTGATTAAATAGACTGAGCGAAAACCTATTCTTTACTGTTTTCCTCAATTGGGTACTGAATTAAGGCACACTCAGGTTGGAAGGATAGTGAAGCTAGGGCCTAACTTCCAGGCAGTAGTGACATTTGGAAATTTAAATTAGAAAGGCAAAGGCGAGTACTGGGCCTGCAGCACTGGTTCAGGAGCTGCCCTTTCCCCATGGGGCATCAGAATTCAGACTGTTGTTGCTCTAGGCATGAGTGAAAAGGGTCACAGGTCCCACTCGAACCTCTATGTCACACTATACACACAAGCCTCCTGACCTGAGGAGTAAGAAAGGTGGCAAAGAATAGGTTTAAATAATACAGAAGGCTGGCTGGTTAGCTCAGTTGGTTAGAGCATGGTGTTGATAAATAATAAGGAAAAAAGAAGCCTAGTGGGATGATTATGAATGAACTGTCCTTTTCTTCAGCTTTAGGAACTGAGAACCCTGCTCCTGTGGCAAATTTTAAAACATATTATAAACATTACATTAGTAAACTCCATATAAGTACCAGATTTAGTCTCTATGCTTTACACCTTCTGCAAAACTTTTCTACAGTATTTTCTACCTTCTTTTAAAGTTTTTCTTTGAAATTCCTCCTACACCATACACTCCCTGAGGGTCAGGGTATCCTTTTGCCTTTGTACCTTACATATATAATAAACACTGAATACAGGAATGAATGAATAAACAGAAATCAGGCCTTTCGGTAAAAGGCTGAAGAAACTGGGTTGTGAGTTATCATCACAGAAAACAATAGAACACTTTATCCTAAGGTGGGTAAAAGAATTATCACGTTGCTTTTTATGATATTTAACAATTTATTTACTGAATATTATTTTTCAGGGGACCTATTCAAACCCAAATAACAACAAGTAGTGTCATAACTTAGTTTCACTATGTATAAAGATGTTCATTCCAAAAAAATTAATTCCAAAAAATGCAAGATACCTTTTTTCCCCTAATCTGCTCTGAGCTTTTGCCCTCTTTGTCCATGAAAGAATCAGCATGAGGAAATTAACTAAAAGTAGGAATTCTCACTGGGCTTACCCATCAAGCAAATACCGATGGGATGGGGTGCTGAGGAAATGGGCATTACTACTCTTGAAAAGCCTCAACAAGAGAAGTGAAAATCCTCAGAACAGGATGGGCTTCTCCCTTCACATGCTTCATGAAATCTGCCAGTGTGAACTACCTGACCTCTGGCGGTGGCCTTCCACGCCACACCCTTACTAGTGTCCACAGTCCCGTCACCCACAGATGGTGTATGACAGTCTTACTCTGGCAAGCAGGTATCTCGCAGTACTTCCAGTAGACACCATCCTCATGCTCTGCCACATAGCACCAGGGGCTCACATCTCCATCTGGGTTTCTGTCGGAGAAAAGGACACAATCAACGACATTTATGATGTTTTATGTCAACTGGCTCATTGCTTTTCAGTTTTACAGAAAAGAAATTGCTTCAGCTTTTGTGTTATTTCTAATAATTGGTATATATCTCTACGTCATCTCTTACCAAGTAAAAAAATTTTAATATGAGAACAAACCTATCCCCTCTGACATATGCTACAGAGTTTTGGGGAACATGAGCAAAGGTGATATATGTTTGACACATTCACTATCATGTAACTAGGACAACTGACCACTGAACAAATCACGCCAAACAGCATTACTGGCACCTTGAATGTGAACAATGGCTGAGTGAACAGAGGTGCTCTCAGTCCTGCTGATGAGAATGCGAACTGACACAACAGTCAGGGCGGCAATTCGTTAATTAGAGCCAAAGGCCCTAAAAATATGCAAACCCTTTACTTGGCCTTTTCCTCTTGAGGAATTTATTCTCAGGCAATCTTTACTTATAAAGTTGTTCAATAAAGCATTTTTATAATATAAGAAAAGTTGGGGGCTGTGCGGTTAGCTCAATTGGTTAGAGCCTGGTGCTGTTTACACCAAGGTCCAGGGTTTGAGCTCTGTCCCAACAAGCGGGGGGGCGGAGGGGGCAGCATTGGGTAAATAAATATGGTATATCCATACAAGGCAATGTTAAGCAGCTAGGGAAAATGTATTTATCTCTTGATGATGGGACTACTGGTGATTTTCATTTTTCCTAGTTTTATTTTCTTATTTTCTCTATAATGAATACTCCAATTGTGTAATTTTTAAACATTAGAATAAAATTCACATAATATAGACTCCACTGACAAGCTTTCACCAGGATTAGGCCGAGCAACTCATATTTAACAGAAATGGATGCTAACCTCCTCCTTCCTCAAAATACTGACTCCTCAGAAAATTTTAAGGAAAACTATGCCATAGAGTCTCAGTTAGAACCTGTGATCCTGTCATTCCAGTAACAACTTCTGATATGGCAATAATATTTTTTATAGATTTATTTCTAAATGCGAATGGCTTGGAATCAATGCCCTTTAAGGTCTTTTCAACTCAGAGATGTCATGACAATAACAGGCAGCACTGCTGAAGCAGATCAAAAAATGGCAGGGGCTACTGGACACATTGAAAAGCCTGGCCTCTCTTCACCACTTTCCAAGTCCCTTTTATTTAGACTCAGAACACTGGAAACCTGACACTCTGGTTAGGCCGGAAATGGGCATAAAGACCCTGCAGCCTGGAGCTTTGGAGCAACCCCTATCAGGCCTGAGCGGGATAAGTCTATTGTGTGGCCTAGAAGATAAGCTTCCCGAAGCACAAAGGGTCCTTTTATTTCTTGTGCCCAAAGGCAGGTGCCAACGCCAACTCTGCTCTTCCCCAGTCTCTGCCTCCCCCTCTAATCCAGATACTCTGAGTCCAGAGAAGTGCGTTCCCTCCCATCACTCGCCAACTCTCATACATCTCAAATGTGATGGGTCTGAAAAAGTCGCACAAGATAAACATGGTGTCGGGTGTCAGCTGAGAAATCAAAGTAGGAGAACTTGTACAAAGCCCTTCTTTAAACAGTATTTCGCTGTCATTTTCCTCCCTCTATTCAGTGTTCAGCTTTGATGTAGTATTTGGTAAAGCCCTTAGAAAACAACTGTTTATTATCAATGTCAAAACCATTCTGAAAAGCATCAGAATAGCTTAATAAAGAACAAGCAAATTCATCCTTGACTTTGCTGCAGTGCTAAAACACAAGGCCTGGACTCTCTGATGTGATAATAATCAACAATCTCAGCCTCCTTTTTTTGAAATATAAACTGGTATTTCAGGTCTGGTACATTCCATCAAATCAAAGGAGAAGTTTGCAGTGCCAGGGCTCAGGAAAAAGGTGGTCCCTCCTGGCTCTCACTGCTTTCTTAATGGGTTTAATGGTGCATTTTTGGGAGCCTATGAGTAGAAATGGGTGCTAATCTATAAGAAAAAAAAAAAGTTTTTCATATAAATTAAGCCTCATTGGAAATTTAAAATTTACCCTGAAGTCAGACTTAAAAACAGGAGCTCTTCTTTTTTTTTTTTTTCCTTTTTGTCTTTTTTTACTGACCGGTAACAGGATCGCAACCCTCGGTGTCGCGCCCGTACTGGGGACCAGCAACGGGATCACAAACCTCGGTGTTGCGCCCGCACCGCGCTCAGCCAGTGAGCGGGAACCGGTCTCCACATGGGATCCGAACCCTCGGTGGGAGCGCCACTGCGCTCCCAAACGGCGCACTCTCCAGTGTGCCACCGGACTGGCCCAAAAACAGGAGCTCTTCTGAGAAGACTTAAGAAATGGAATAAACCAACAGCCTACTACCAAGAACTGGCCCCAAAACAGGAGCTCTTCTGAGAAGACTTAAGAAATGGAATAAACCAACAGCCTACTACCAAGAGACACTTCAAAACAAGAGGATAACTACGTAAAAACGAAAAACACTTATTTCTCTCCCTAAACATTCTTCCTAACACAACCCAACTATTCCTATGAACAGAAAAACAACAGGGAAGAAATGAACCAGAAATAGAGTAGAACTGATGTTTTATTTATACAAAAAAATGTAAATTAACACGTGTAACTTTAAAAATAAAATATAGAAGAATTAATAAGTATGTGTAACTTTAACAATAAAATACAAAAAAAGAGCAAAATACGAAGTAGCAAATACACAAATTCTGATATCTTGGAACTGGGACTTGGTGAGAGGATTTCAGGGAAAGAAGTAAAATGGGAGACTTTATTTAAACAATATATATCTGAAGTGTTTGAGAAATTTTTTTGGAACAAGCTTTTAATACTTTCATAGTAACAAGCAAACAAAAAAATAATGCAACAGCAGCTATGAGGGGATGGTCAGTTGATACAAGTTAAGAAGTGAAGGAAAACACTGAAGGTACAGGGAAGAGAACATGTACCATAGGCCTGGTGACTTCAAGACAACCACAAGGGCCCTAGAGTGTTAGCAAAAGTATGCAGAGGGCAGAAGGTAAACAGTGTGGCCTATGCAATGCAGGAATATATATGTTGGCTCAGCTGGGTCAACATGGCTGAGATTCCAATGTCTGTAGAACCAGGGACATGGTGTGTAACTCAGATGGAGCTCAGCAATCATTTTTCCCTGTCCCCAATGGCTTGAGAGGCTGCCTTTATACCTGTCCTAACAATAACTAAATTTAATATATCGCTGAACCATGAGTTTCCTTACCACGATCTTGAGCATAAAAAAGTGCTCAGAATCTCCGCTCTGGTCCCTACATACCACTGATTCTTATGTAGTTCTCAATCACAGATAACTTTGAGAAGCTGATCAAAGCCATGGATCATCTCCCCAGGAAATTGTGAATACACATATGACGAACCATGGGTGTCAGTTTAAGAGCCCCTGCTAGAGTCAGACAGGACGTGAAAAGCAAAGAAACACCTTAGTCTACTGAAAGGAAATAAACAGCATAAATCTGATGGATACAGCTGTTTCCAGAGCAAGGTTATCCTGGGCTGGCCAGAGGCAGGATAACACAGGCAGCTTCCTTTGCTCAGAAGCAGAGGGAGGTTTGGGTCACAGGCAGTACTGGTTTTTTTTTTTTTTTTTTTTTTTTTTGTCTTTTTTCGTGTCCAGCAACGGATCGCAACCCTCAGTGTCGCGCCTGTAC